ATCTTTTTCCTCTTTACCATTTTTAACAAGAGCTGCAATCCGGCAAGCATGCACCCGGGCTCATCATTCAATGGAGAGGAGACTGTGGCGAAATAGAATTATTGACTGTTATCACCCCTGTTACCTCAGGCACTGTGGAAAAAGGGATTAAGTGGTCAATTTACATTATTGGCAAGCGCTTTTTATAGTTCAGCTCTAGTGTAGTGCACGGGTGGCATGACAGGATTTTAAATAGCATTAAAAGGGCGTTTCAGACCTGTTCTGTGGGAGAGAAAGATAAGTGCTGTATATACACTGCAACACACACACACGCTCACTACTGAGAGGCGAGCACCCAATCCCATTCACTGGCTCTCTGTTCAGCTCAGCACCATGCCACACTAAGAGACAAATGCAATTAGCGTTTAATTTGATGGTTGGGCAAGAGAACAGGAAAAGAGAGATATGACAGACTCTTGGCACTGTCTCCATAAGCCTGCCATTAATTGACAGTCAGCTGCATCGTACTATAGGTATTCCACTTAAGCACATATACAGCAGTGACTGACAGCTGTTACCAAGTGATAGAACAAGCAGAAGTAGCTTCACCCCAATAGAAAGGCACTAGGTAACGCACTCCTAAATCAGCACTCATAGCCGGCACTTAACCAGGTTTGCTGCCTCCCGCTGAGTAAATGTCATGTTTACTGACAACATTTCATTCCCTGACGGGACAAGTAGGTACCATGCTTAATTATTTGTAAACATTTAATTGGCATTTACACCCGCGAGGATTGCACAGTTCACCTCAGCAGGACACTTGCGCATCCTCATCAAGGATTAATCAGGCAAGTCGAACAAGGCCTCCCGACGTTGCTGAGCACTCAAACGCATCGTAATGGCAGTGCATTGTTCTTCAGAGATGGATGAGACCTAAGCCGTCCATTTGCTCACTGCCAAGCTTGCTGATGGATCTCTGAAGAGACTTGATGTTAAGTGACTGCGCGATACCTCCCCCAACCATGTCCACAGGGCACATCAGGGTCATTAGACAGGTTGCTTATTACAAAAACAAAGCCTGTCCTCTTGGGGCCAACCATTCTGCTTCATTCACAACGCCATTCAAAGCTCCATTTATCTAGCGAAGTTGACGGCTTCACCAAGTTACCCAGCAATCAGTGATCATTGAGTAATCGGGTGAGAAGTGGCCGTTTTGGGCCATCGTTACCAAGTTGGAAGATCAAATCTGGACTAATTACGGAGATTATCTTCAAGTGGTCTCCACGCAGCGTGCAGCTGGCGCTAGACAGCGCTAGCCACAGATTGAGTTGTCTGCTGAAGGCAGGGGAGCCAAGGGCATGCTGAGCTTTACTGTAGCCTGAAATAAAACAGGGCTTTAGTGGGTGTACCTCATCCACAGTATAGGCTCGGCAAATAGTCATTTTTGCTCGTACCCAAATGAATTAGCGAAAGAGAACAATGCTTAATAGCTCAGCAGGGGAGCTAGGCAATCATTTTTATTTCCCGATACAAGAAAATGTGACAATGTTCAAGAGTGGAGAGAATGTTCAGTCCTTTAGTCTATTTTATTACATTATTTTATCATATGTATAGGTATACAATAATATGCAAGCACAACTTAAAATTGCATTTTTCTATGGCTTTTGTGTGGAATTATTTTCAGGCTATGGTTGAAGGAAAAAGAATGACTTTGACATCATACTTCAATATTTTTCATAGATGGATAAGAACATGCTTGCAAGGTAAAATCAGCTATCCTGGTGCGTCAGATGTATAAATTGCTCTCCAAATATTCTGAGAGCTGACTGCAACGCACAAAGGTGTTGTAATGGTAACGACCTGTAGTAACTCACAGAGAGCATTCTGGGTAATAGTTACTCACATTGCAGTAATTTTAGCAGTGCGCACTCCTGTATGTTTGTTGTCCTCTTGAACCATTGTTGTAATAATAGCACATAATAGCATTTGCTGAAGTATACACATAATCCAGAAAGAGTACTTATATTTGGTTTGAAAAAAGAAAGAAAAATATGAAAGACATTAAGTTTTTTTTAACTTTCCATTACAGAAGAATAAACTGTACAAAAACAATTTTTGAAATTGTGATTGCGACTCACTAAGATGAACAAAATTACAACAGCATCGCATGCCCTCCAGAAGGGAGAGAGGACATATGAGCTTGTCCAGTATGAACAGTGCGTGACACATATCAATAATAATTGTGATCCCCAGTAATATCAGCTGATATAATTGTCCAGTAGTTTTAGTTAAACATAGTTAAGCATGTTACTGACTGATATGATTGTCAGTTGTCAAATATGTCAGTTCTCAATTGTCAAATTTCTTAGATAAACAGGAGAAACTCAAAGAAAAAGAGGGAAATTTAACCAGTTTTACATGCGTGATTCTTTTCTTTCAGTACTATTTTGTCTTAGAATGCCTTGCAAGAGTATCCCAGAATTCTTAGCAGTTTTGTTGTTTTATGCTGATTAGCTCTTTTTCCATATTTTTCTGCACAGAACATGCTATGGTCATGCTAAAGGCTAGGTTGGATTCATTTTATGTGTGTTTCAGCCCACATTGCTGTAATGGGAAAGATTACGGAATGCCTGTCAGCACGGCAGTTTTTTATAAAGACTGCTAGCTAAGCATGAGATCCAGGGGTGACAAGATTACTGAAATTTGCTTTTACTGAAAAGTAAGAATACTGTTACTGTAGTGATAATTTACTGTAATACAAGTAAATGTATTAATAAGAAAAAGAATATAAAACTTAAATATAAAATATAAAATGATTACTTTGAGTTTTATATATATATCCACAATTACAATTTAAAGATATTTCTGAGTTGGTTTGACTATATCAGGGGTCAGCAACATGCAGCTCCTTTACTGCCCTGTTGTGGCTCCACAGCAGAATTAGATTTTTAGGTAAAAATAAAATAATCCTCCTTTGCAGTAAAATAAAGCTCTACTGATTGTTCAAACACAGTTTTAACAATAAATGGTCTTAAACCCTGGAGTTAATGTAGCCCATATCTGCTAATTCACCAACCTGTAACCCTGAAGATTGGTACACAAACTGCTGGTCACCATAGCAAAGCAGACAATAATCTCGCCTAGCTAGTAGCTAACGAAATGGCTAAGAGAAGATTTAAGACAAACATTGATCATTTGGAGATGAATGGACTTATTTGCATTCATAAACACTCCAGCTGGTTTGGTTTCCTGATACATTTAATTGCAACGAGAACTGTCAAACACTAAAAGGTCCAGCTTCTTGTACGAATTTTCCCATTACACCTTAAGTAATGCAACAGTTACATTCCGTGTCTTAGGCACCATTTAAGGTGGAACGGAAAAATTTGAACAAGAAGTCTGGTGAACGAGAAGCTGATTTCTGCCTCATAAAAGTTGAAGGTTGAGAAATAGTTTACAAGAAACTATTCCATTTTTACAGATTTTTTTTTACAAGATATTACATTAGAAAAAATGACAAAGTTTTGAGTCCTGAGACTGATTGCAGTGTGTGTACTGTTTGTACTGTACACAATATGCATGTTAATATTCTTTTTTTTTTTTGATACAGGCGTTGCAAGATGACACGCTGTGAATTGAATATGGTTACATTTCATGGTATAAAATGTGTGATAAAAGGAATGGGTTCCATAGGTCTCTACAACACAATCCATTATGTTCCCAAAAGTGATAGCCATGAATGTGAAAAACCCTCCACTGTGCAGATCTAGGGACTGGTGTGGTTAGCCTTTTTTGGGTGGTTGATTTCTCAGTCGAGTACAATAATGATGGCCAAAGAGTGGTAGATCTAACAGTGACAGGGTGCAGACATTGCCTAGCACAAGGATCAAAAACCCATGTTAATACCACAAATATAATAACTCATTTGTGAAGACATCACCCAAATGTATCACTGTATTAGTTACCAGAGCAAGAAGAAAACACATAAAGTTAGGTATCTTCTTATTTGAATTTTCCTTACATGCTACTGCTGCTCCATTCAAAGTGGGTGGAAAATTGTAGTAAGAAGCTGACGTGTAGGAACTTTGTGTTAATACAAGTCTTAGCAGCTACTTCTCCCCACTAGATTCAAACAGCCGCTAAGTGTCGATTCTGAATAGGCGAAACAAATAACTTGCACTATAGCAAGTTAACAGCTACCGATTTGCACCTCTGTAGAGTCCACCTCTGCTTGGTTGTGGTTTACACTTTACAAACAAAAGAGCTTATTGTAAATAAACTTGTAGTACTCAGTTCTTTTTCAAATTGAGCTGTAGCCCTATAGTTTACTTTTTTAGTTGTTTTTATACAGATTTTACACTTTGGTTTATATATTTTTTATTTATTTTATGTCTTTTAAGAAAATGATGTGAAAAAAACAAACAAACAAGCAAACAAAAAAGTTTTGAGAATTCCCAAAAAATAAACAAATACAAAAATAAATGTTTATTTGATTTCTAATTCTGTTTCAAGAATGTATTGCGATAAAAAAAAAACAACAGAATGTATAGTACTAGTGAACTTAGTGAAATTTGAGTATCATTTAACCCCTACTGTGTAAGACACAGGGTCTATTTTTTGGTTTGGCCCTTCAGATTACTAACTGGCACATGCGATAGCTAACAGGCAGTTGCATTAAAACATATAAGCAATATCTGTTAGGTTTAATAAATATCTATCATACTTGTTATCCTAAAACACCTAAGCTAACTGCTTGTAAGCTTGTATGTTTTAATGGTGGGATATTTGCTGATACTGATAAACCCATGGGACCTTAATATCAGCTGATATTATCAGCCCAACTGTATATCGGACACATCCTAGGATGTAAGCGCACAGTTCCCTGCCCCTGTTTTCTTTTTTTTCCCCTCCTTACCTATTGAATATGTGCTTGCTCTCCTGTGCCTCTTCCCTCAGTGAGATGTAGCATCCTGATTGAAAGTTGTCTGATACTGTTTGCGTGTCTCTGTCCTTGTCATTAGGAGTGCCATGATTGCTGACTACGTGTACTGGCTGTCCGGAGATGCCGAGCAGCATATAAGCAAGCTCATCAAACTGTATTGGCAGGTGAGGACGGATGGGCCGCCAGACACACGCAGAGGCCCGGCACCCAATCACAAGCCCAATGAATGATTATTGCTTAAAAGACTGGCCACTGACTTTGCTCTGTGCATATCAATCAGCCAGAAAGCCTGCATAGCAGTAAAGTGTTTATAATGGATAACACCAAGGTAGATGGTTTGCCTGCATCTAAGCTGGGCCTGGGTATCGAAAGGTACTTCCCAATATGATATTTGGCACCATATAGAATCATAAGATATGACACAATGTCCCTGACAGTCTTAACCTTCAGAAGTCTAGCATTATTACTGTTGTTTATCTATAATGCAGTTTTATTATTATGTAATTAAGTTTGTTACACAGTGAATTAAATTTTCATTAAATTTATCAACATAAATGTCAGAATTTACAAAACACAATCTAAAACTATGAGAAAGATTATCTTTATTTGATGTTTCAAGCATTGCACCAAATCCAACAGGATTAATTATGCAGTCTTTGTAATGAAACATGCCCTTGCTCAGTGTTTAAGAAAGACTGACAATATCCACAATATACAATATACATATTGTGATATACTGTGACGTAAATATCATAATATGCCCAGCCCTATCCGTATGCACAATATGCAACAATAACTTTTTATCATGATTTCAATTTGATGAAATGTCTCCGCTTTAGCTTGCAAACATAAATTTAGCATCAATTTAAAGTTTTGGCAAAATGTACCTATTTGTTTCAATAAGCTATAAGTTTGAAATGGTTAATCTCACACTACCACATGCTTTTGTTATTGCCAGCGAGAACTGTGACTTCTAAGGGTTAACACCTTAAACTTACTGGTTTATAAGTTTTCTCATCTGAACACTTATTTTACAGTAATTACTACAAAATATTTTCTAACTACTAGGGGTGAGAGATAATAGAGAAAATATCATCATACCTGAGGACAAACTGCATTGCATGTTTGTCACACTAAATGGTTTCTGTTCCTTGAAAAACAAATCTTTAAAATGATCATTTAATTTATTAAAGGAAAAAAGTTTTGCAACACCTGTACCATCAATCCAAAGTAATCACCCCTAAACTTACTTAATAACTGGTTTTGCCACCTTTAGCTGCAGCAACTACAACCAAGTGCTTCCTGTAATTTGGAGATCAGTCTTTTTCATCACTATGGTGGAAACTATTCTTTGCAGAATTGTTTTAATTCAGCTACATTGGAGGGCTTTCAAGCATAAAGTGCCCATTTAAGGTCCTGCCACAGCATTTCAGTGGGGTTTAAGCCAAGACTTTGACTAGGTCACTCCAAAACCTTAGTTTTGATTTACAGGTGGACTTACTCTTGAGCTTCAGATCATTGATTTGCTACGTAACTCTGTTGTGCTTGAGCTTCAGATGACGAACTGATGACTGTAGGATGATCCTGTAGGATTTTCTGGTAGAGAGCACAATTCTTGGTTCCATCTATAATGGCAAGTTGTCCAGGCCCTGAAGCAGCAAAGAACTTGCACACCATCAAACTTCCAACCACCATGTTTGACTATTGATATGATGTTCTTCTTGTGGAATGTTATGTTAGGTTCATGTCAGATGTAATGGACCCCCTGTCTTGCAAAAAATTCCACTTCCGACTCATCAGTCTGCAGAACTCATCAGTCCGTTATTGTAAAAGGCTCTTTCTAATGGTGTAATCATGAATGCTTATCTGAGGCAAGTGAGGGCTGCAGTTCCTTGTCTGGGTTGTTTCGGGGTTCTTTCCCAGATGGGTTGTTGCCGTACTCTTGGAGGAATTTTGGTAGACCAACTACTTCTGGGAAGATTTACCACAGTTCCAAGTTTTCTCTGTTTGGAGATAATGGCTCTCGTGGTGGTTTGCTGGAGTCCCAGATCCTTAAAAATGGATTTGCAACCCTTTCAAGACCGAAATATTTCAATAACTCTCTTTCTCATCTGCTCTGGGATTTCTTTTGATCGCAGCATAGTGTGCTGCATTTTGAGACCTTTTGGTCTACTTCAGAATGCTGGAAAGGTTCTATTTAGGTGATGCTTAGATTTCACAGGGCTGGCAGTAATCAAGCCTGGGTGTGTCTAGTTTAATTGATCCCAATTATCAACTAAATTCGGTTAACTCGATTGAGTAACTAAGGGGGCATTTACTTTTTCACACAGGGCCAGTTAGTTTTGGATAAATTTTTTCCCTTCAGTACCATTTTGGGTTTACTCCAACTGTCTTTATTGTATATAACATATATTGAATTTATTTTTAACAATCTGAAACAGTTAAGTGTGACAAATATGCAAAAATAGAGGAAATCAGGTGGGCCCAAATATTTTTTCACAGCAGTGTATTGCACTGCACTAAATCCAGTTAAACAGGAATAAGTATGCTCTCTTTGTAATGAACTATGCAGCTGCTTGGTGTTCTTTAACTACTGATGATATCTAACATGAGTGTGACTTACTTTATCATGATAACTATAAAAAGCCATATTGCCTACTTCTAGTAACTGCTATTAGAGGAATATGTTATTGAGAGCATTTTATTTTATTGTATTTTATTGTCCACTGAAGAGAAGTAATGTAATGGAGAAAGCAAAAAAGGGCCATCTGAACAGAATACAGTATATTGACTAAATATTGCCACAAGCATTACTGTGTGAATATGTACGGAGTCAATAAGAGCTTAATTTGGATACATCGCCTTGTCAATATTTGGAGCGCAGCACTAGTGTAAATATTAACATGAACAATGTTGTTTTAGCTTTGTGCAGCCTTGCTTTTACTATCAGATATTTAAAACTGTTACATGCTGTTTCACTCATGTCAACATATACACCTACTTTCCTAAAGTAAACAACTTGGAAAGCTGATTACTTATATTTAAGTTGAACTATGTTGTGTCTATTGTAGTAGTGCATATTGGTAACCTACACTTATTTTTTTGAATGTAACATACCTGATTCAACACATCAGATAAGCTAATTATCAAGCGTTTCATGAGCTGAGTCAAATCAGTTTGATGTGCAGTGTGCAAAATTGTGCAGTGGATGAGGTTCCCAGAACTGGGATTTGTGCTCCAGCACAAAATATGGCTGCATAGGGTATTCCTGCAAATATGCATGCAAATAAGAGTTTACTTAGTCAAAGTTGCCTCTCTCATTTTAATTCTGGAGAGAAATGGTTTGGAGTTTTTATTCACAGCAAAAAAAAAGCATTTGACCCCCTAAAAGTAGGTTGTATCTGCAACCAAGCCACGATTTGCATTCGCTTGAAGTGAGATGAGTGCGGCATAGCTTTCAGTATACATCAAGCGCTTTCCTTTTTTTTAAATTAATTTCCATCCCTTGTGGATTTCAATTCGTCTGTGTGTTTGTCCTGATGGCCCTCAATAAGGAGCTGCGTTTTTCATCTCTCTCAGCCCCCTCGATGTCCCCTTTCCCCTCCACCCCAAGCTTTTCATTTTTCTCCATTTGAAAGGCCCAGCTATACAATAGCTCATTCGTCTCCTCTCACAGTATTACCATGGGACAGAGCCATGCTGCCCTGACCAATATTAATGCCTAAAAGACATTTGTTTTTTATTTCTACACAAGTTATAAGGAGGAAAAAGAAAAAGCATCACTTTGCACCTTTTATTCACACACCATCTGAGTGCATGAGACCTGCAGCCATTACCCATAAAAAAATCACCAGTACAGTTTTCCATTATGTTAACAGACTATTCTGACACTCCTTTAATGGAAAATTCTATTAAATTACAGTGCAAATACTGTGTATATGTAGGATAATTCCATCACTTTAAATACAGAACATTCCATTATTTTACAGTTTTATACATAAACATTTATGTACACTACCTTCAACTCAAGAGAAAAATCTTTGGTATCCTCTGCTAGTGCCCAGACATATATTGGATGGCTGATTACATCAGCTGTTATTGACAACCTACAGATTTAATGGCATCAACCAAAATATTGTTGATAATGTGCCAATACTTACTGACCCCTGACAATAGAGCAAAACCCTACAAGGTTACCACTGAGAGCACGACCGCTAAGCTTATAGTCACCACCTGTTTACTTTTATCACAGCAGAACAAGCTGTACTGGTAAATATGAACACAAAACCCTGTGATGGTGAACGAAACAAAAACATGTTAAATCTGGGCTTAAGCATGAGGAGAACATGGAACACACAAAAGAACTTTTTCTATGAGTAGAATAGAAAAAAATAAGAAAATAAGAGGTCATTAAGAGCAACTAGAACCTACAAGAATTCTAGGTAACCAGTGGTACAGTACATGAAGTAAAATCTCCAGTGTTATGAAGGTTGAAAAAATTAAATGTTTCATTAATATTAAAATTGTTTTTATTTTCTCATCTCAGCATTTGACTAATTAGCCACTGTTAATATTTGTCTAGCTTGTTTCTAGCTAGTCACAGGAAAATTGTAAACTTAACAGTTACTATTCTACCTATTCTAACTTTAACTAATGTTTAATGTTGAAATCACATGTCTAAGTTAATGCAATACCTACCTACAATGTTATTAACAGCACATTTAAATTTATCACCATGGTGAAAAAGTAGCTAGGTACTCTCTCTCATGATGAAGGTGCAGTTTTCTCCTTTAATTTCATTTGACTGGCTGCAGCTCTAAGCAGTGGGGTGACTGGTAAACTACCTAGCATGCAGCACAGTTACAGTGAATTGCAGAAACAGAAAAATTCTCTTTGAGTTTTACAGAGGAATAACCCATAAACATACACATATTTTTATAGTGTCTGGGCTCTTTGCAAAAGCAGTCTTATGAGCTCCCTTCCCTTCTTTTGAAAATGCTCAAAATAATTCAGTTATATGGAAAAGGATGTCACCTTGCTGGACACCCTGATGAGTTAGCTTTTCATGTTTTCACATTTTTTGTCAGCAGTAGTCACCACAATTAGTTACATTCAAATCTAGAAAGATTACACTCAAATCAAAGAATTTGAAAGATCAGGAAAAGATAGTCGAACCTTTGAAGTTATCGCAGCTCAAAATGACTTTAGTGACTACGTGTTGTGATTGCTAGTTGGACTCATTTTAGGGGATACCATTGTTTTGTATTTGTGTAAGGCTAATCAGAGCAAGCCTGGTGTCAGGGGGTCATTAAGTGGGGCAATACCCCACCAACCAATCATCATGTCCCACTAAACCCAATACTTTGTACATGGCAAGGGGCAAAATAATGTACAGATGTATCATAGATTTCTCATCCTGCATGTTCCCTAGACTCAGACCTTAAATGTTCCATAGTCTCAGTTTGCTACTTTATTACACTACTTACTGCACACCAAATAGAGCTTTTAGAGCAAGCTCCACACAGGGGCCCTGGATATCCAGTCCTCTAGCCACAGTTGTATTACATGTACATATTCCCTCTGCCCTGTGGTGGACATGCCACAGAGGGTTCCTTCTATAGAAACTAGAAAGACCTGAATTGTGAAGATAAGGCATGAGTTAATGGCTTTCTTAGCCCTCTTTTGTAAACCATCAAAAAAGAATGCTCTTCATTCTAACAGGGCTCCAAGAGCCACTAAAAGTATGGGCTCTGCTGACTCAGATCAGTTCACAGTTTGTCCTAAGCTGACTGACACTGACAGAGTGTAAAGCCCGCACAGCATGCAGCTGCTCACCAGCCACACAACTTCCCACCCGCCATGGGGCTCATTTCTGCACATCTTAACAACAGCACCAGGCATAGGCACATCACAGAGGCAATGCGGCAACAACACTGAAAGTGCCACTTATAAAAGAGATAGGACCCATACAATATGACTACAAAGAGACTCTATCAGCAAGCATAACTTAAATGCTCTTGTCTGGTTTTTGACATGTGCAAGGGCACACACAAGGACTTTATACCATATTCTAAGCAAGGAAAGACTAATATAACCCACTAGTAGGGCTCAAGATAACTTTGTTTTGCAGTTACCACCTTTGACCTCAACACATTATGAGATTATTCACTGTCTGCCTTATTTACCTCTTCACATAGTTTAAATGTTAGCTGTGTAGCATGAATCACTCAAGCTCAGTTAGGTCTTTTTTGAATATTTTGTAGATTTGAGGGACATAACACAGATAATGCCAAAAACTATGTCAGGGAATTTACCACTGTTGCTCTTAAGGCTATTGTTACCTGCTTTAATCGCAAGTCAAGTCATTTCATCTGATAATTATGCTGCAAACTACACTACACAGTCAAATGCCGCAGCTGCTGAAGTGCAACTATGACATGTTTATGCCTAGTCCTGTTGGTAAGATGTGCAGAAATTGTTGTGCATTGCTGTATCTGTTGTCAAAGCTGGCTAATATTTGCAAGTTATTAGTAAAGCTATTTTAGTGTACTGACTAGCTCTGCTTACCTTGTTCTAAAAGAAAAGGTTGGCTTGCTTCATCCATTTAGCCCAGTAATTCTTGTTAGTTCAGTTCAGTTCATCACATCTTATGAAAATTCTTGTTTTCCACAGTATTCCATGGATTTTTTTTTCCCGCATCTAAAACGTCTTCTGATTTTTGGCCATGTCACTATGCACCAGCAGGTGGGAATAATGATATTACCCTATAATATCATATTTCTCCTCCCTCACCCACCATCAAGTGAAAATGCTCAGCTAGCTCAGACGTCTTTGCTGATCCCATGTTTTACTCAAAAATATATTATGATACTGAAAGAAAATTTCCAATTCATATTGGCTTAAACAGTCTTTGTTAGTGAAATGCAACTAGACTCTGGTCTGACTGCACTCTGCAACTGTCAGATTCTCAAAAAGATCACGGTTTTTGTAAACCAGCACGATGAAAGAGAACAGAGATTACTCACAGTTAACACCTGTCTATCTAAACCAGGGGTCTCCAGTCTTATCCACAAAAGGCCAGTGTGGCTGCAGGTTTTCATTCCAACAAAGCAGCAGCTTACCTGATCAGTTGTTTGACTGAGAATTTAAACAAGGAGAATCAGGTGTGTTCCTGCTTGATTGACATGAAAACCTGCAGCCACACCACCCTTTTCCAGATAAGATTGGAGACCCCTGATATAAACTAAACATGTGTTAAACTATAATGTTAAACTATAATAATCAATAATATGGGGTAACTATGTGGCAAACAAAAAAATTAAATGTGCTTTTAAAAAAACATTTTTTGGTCACTTAAACTAAATTTGTTTCAATGACAGGTCAAATTTCTTTTATATTTTCAGTGTGCGATTAAGCTAATTAACCACAAAGGCTCTTTTTTTAACCAAGGGTGCCAACAATAATGGAGCTGACTGTATATGTTCAACCCCAACAGCTCTACAGAAATCTAGTAAGTCAAACTAATACTAAGTCTATTGTATTCCTTGTATCTGGGTCACTAGAACTTCACTATGTTCAAGTAACGACAACATAGAACTATTAAACTTGTATATTCTTTGGACAGATGCAAAGTGCTGCAGCCTGTTGTGACTCAACTTCTCATCTGATGTGGTTGTGAGAACAAGTTCTGTGTCAGCCTTGAGCAGTCAGATGCTTTCAACTTGCAGCTATACATTTTACTGGTATGCAAGGCTGGAGACACATTTCCAGGAACAATCATAGAGCGAACCTGCACAATCCCTGCTGCTCAAGCAACGCTTCACAACTGCTGCAACAGAAAAAAACAACAAGTGCTCCTGCGGTCAAGGGTCATCTCATATAATCCTCCAGTATTCTCTTTAGATGAGCTGTGCTTTCAGGCTTCAGAGACAGAGCCTGCTACATTCAATACCTTTTTATAAGACATATCCATTTTGAACCAGGCCATGCTGAACATTTGCAAATAACTCCAGTTCCAGATCTTCTTTATCTGATTCCACTTGTCTATCTGTGGCACTTGGATCATCCATCTTGTTTTGAATATGTCTGCCTGCCAAACATCACAGATCCCTGTCATTTTTCATCTGAGCCGAGTATTGTCTGAGCAATGGCTCAATCAAGGGATATAAAGGAGGGTATAATGTTACCTTCCCCTGGATGATATATATATATATATATATATACATGAAGAAGCCTCCACTGTTTCATCATAATGCATCAAGAAATATTATGCATGGCTTCCAAAGCAGAAAAATTCCTTATAGTTAAGATGCTACACTCTGGCTCAGTTGTCATAAACATTGGCTGTACCAAATTAGGCATCACGTGAGACTGAAATATTTTCATATCGTCACATGAAGGGTTTGATTCATTCCCGTTGCCCCTGCGTTTGGGTGCCAGGAAATGCTAAAGGCTATTGGGACACCAAAGCCTAGGTAATCCTCAACCATAATAATGCACTCTCTTCTCATTCCAAGTGGATTAGAATGTGAGATAGATTAGGCTGGAAACAGTACCTGATGCCACTCGCTGTGATTTAATCAGTGCTATTTTAGCGCAGAAAAGAAAGCTATTCTTTCCTTAAGAAAAGCTCACACCCTAATGCCGATTCTGTGCTCAGTGCCAGAACAATTTACATTAACTCTCGGAACTCGGCACACTAAATACCCAGTAGGATAGACAGACCATAAAATCGCATCTTACATAATCACATCTTGCATTACACTCGTTTGCAACTATTTTAGGATTTAATCATTTGGAAATCAAATGAGCTTGTTAAGAGTAAGGATATTCACGCTATTTTCTCTCTTTCTGTCCCTCTCTCTGTCTCTTGCTCTCTCTCTGTCACCTTCTGTCTCTCTTGTAGGGGTTGTTGGAGGAGGCTATCACCATGGAGGAGAATTTCTCTGTCTTGTACACTCCTTGCTGTGGGAATCCCACTAGGGACACAACCCTGCAGACAGAAGAGACCTTCCGAAAGCTGCACCCTGCCTTCACTACCTATATCTTTACTGGTATGGAGAAAAAAACATAGTATAGTAAAGCATACAGACATACACTCATGAGGATGCAATACAGAGCCAAATGCATTAATTATGTACAGTACGGGAGAACGTGGTATATCAAGCCAGGGGGTAAAGTCAACCACCCTTTGTATTTAGGCAACACAGAAATAACCATGAGATCACAGATTCAAGAAGAATAGTTAATGTCACATGAATTCTGGTTGAGATGAGCATGGGAAGAGAGTAGTGAACTAACCAAAGCCAAAAATGTGATTTTTCTCATGCCAAATAAAAATTTAAAGGTTAAGATATTATCGGTAATGTGTGTTAAAAAAAGTTATATAGGCTTGGGATACTTTTTACATACTAGTTTACAGCAGCATATGCTTCAACATGAGGTCATAAACCTACGTTTATGTGTGGAGCAGTTTTCTCAAAATGGGGGTTGTGGGATAAATCATGGCACTAGTCTTGAGGGCAGGTTGAGCCAACTTACCTCAATTAAAATATAATGTATATTCACTCGTATATAATTAGGTAAAATACATTCATGCATGTTGAATTGTAGTGATATTGCAGAATTTCCATCATGCCAAGAAACCACAAACGTGAAACCAATAGGGGTTCAGCCCCATTGGAAGATATGAGAAAAGCAGCCAATCATGTGTGAGATTTGGTCTGCTGCAATGGAGGAAAAAATAGTGTGGCACATTTTACCCTTTCCCCCTTCCTATGCTCAATTTACCCCTGCAAGTTGTGCCAAAGGACCATTTTTTGATGGGTTGTGCTTCTAAAACTGCAAAACTTGCTAAACAAAATGTTTTAATTTCTATGCACAGCATCTCTAAATATGCATCACAACTATTATCTGGAATAAACATACATTTGTTTTTCTGTAAAATCATGAATTGTAAAAAGTGACTCATTATATCTCATTCTCCCGTACAGTGTGACGTGATGAGTAATTCTTCAATATTACTCCACTGCAGATTAATACTCCGTACTGCAGGGTCCTAAAACCTGGGGAAATGGCTACCATATGTAGAGATCAAGAAAGCCAAAGTGGCAGTAGTGTGGCAGAATTTTCTCCATGTAATTACCCTATTCCAGAACAACAAGAGCTCATTTCAACATGAACCAACCTATGCTGTGCGTTTGAGCTTAAGGCTAAAGCATTGCGTTAGGCCAAAAGAAAAAATGCAGCTGAATGCTTCATGCTAGCTAGTTAAGGGGGTATTTGATCACGTTTTCCCAAAAAAATTCTGCATAATTCATTTGCTAAGATGTAAACAAAGTCATTTAGAGTTTGGTGTAAAATGTGCCACAGCAGTGGTGACAGGAACCAGATGTCTGAAGATTTGAATGCCTCTTAAAGCTATCACAGGAAGCTATTATGCAAAAGGGTTACAAGTATGCTGCCTGATGTCTGAGACATTGTTTTATGAATAATTTCAAATAAGGTTTTGGCTTTAACCATATTTAAAAAAATCCAATTATGGCAGAGAGGTACATGCGTGGCACTGTAAGGCAAAACAGAAAGAAAACATATATTTCCCCCTCGGTTCCTATCAATACAACTATAAATCCAGCTCAGTATGTTTCTCTACAATGCTCTGTTTCTCACCAAACCACATTGGCTTTGTTTACATCTTAACAATGGAATTCTGCAGTTTTTTTTTTTTATTTGTTTATTTTTATTGGTAATTCCCTTTTAAGAGATGCTGAAGTTTACTGCTAACGTTACTGTGTTTTGTTATTAAAGCAAACTTAGGATCCTTAGAACACAAAAGAGTATGTTCTTATTTGTTCAGTTGGGTCTCACTGTCAGTGCAGTATGACACCTTATTCACAAAGTTTGGCACTGGAGTTCATGTTTCAAAGTAAAGGCTTAGACATACTGTTTTAGGGAAAAAAATATTATAACATCTTATATAATCTGGAGTTTTTTTACCTTTCAGAAAGTTTTTCACATTTCACATTCACTCATCTCATTTACAAAAATGCTACTTTAAAGAACCATCCATTGAAATGTTCTTTGGGGAATCAGAAGTGTTTTTTTCAATGGCATTAGTCCAAAGAACCCTTTTTGGCACCTTTATTTTTAAGCATGTGGTTGTAAAACTGACATTTCAGCCACTCACTCTGCCTATTACCTCCCCTTGTTGCCTTCCCTTTGCATTGGCACAGAACTTTCAACAGCATGCATTATGTCATGCAATATTTCTAGATCCTGCTATGCCTAATTCAGATGTTGCCCCAGCAACAGGTTGTGAATGAAGCGGTTGGTGGCACTGAGGCAGGCAGGGAAAGAAAGCAGTGCTCTCTGAGCTGCGTGTTCTGAAATCCTGGCTATTTTCACACTAAGGGCGAAAGCTCACCTCTCTAGATTCAATTAGCCCTCTCCATTTCCACATATTTCTCTATTATAAAAAAATCCATAGTCCACCATCCAGTGTGCATCTGCCATCCATACCCTGACCTTAACCATGACTGACTTAAAATTACCCATTCTGCAGCAACTTAACCGTATAGCTGTTCTGCCCTGTGTGTGTGTGTGTGTGTGTGTGTGTGTGCGTGTATGTGTGTTTGTACGTGGGCGGTGGGAGGAGGGCTGAATGTTAACTAATTAATTAACAGGGCCTCGAACGGAGCTTGTCGGTTCGTCTGCACGTGTTCCGAGGGCATGCAGAGTTTGAGCTCATGCTGGCTGAGTTTGTCAAGGGAGATGGCTAGACTGAAAGAAGATGAGCATGCGCTGAAGCCTTTCTTGGGCCAAACTATTATTTTTTTCCACCTTATTAAGACAAGGTGAAAAATAAATAAATAAATAAATGTCGAGTGCCATCGGCAAGAGGTCAGCCTCACCGAAGCATAAATGATACACCATTTCAATCTTGCAAATCAGTGTTCCGCTACTTTGAAGAAAGCGGCGATGTCGCAAATGTTATGCTTTCGCACATTAGGATCAAAGGATTCAACGCACACCTTCGGGTTGCTGTTCATAATGTCTCTGAATATATTTTTGAAAGCATTGTAACATTTTTGAAAGAAAGTTAATATGTAGATTCACCGTGCAATCTCCTGACACAGCAGTAAGCCTGTCCCCAAACCAAACTCCCTTTGCAATCCAAGTTAACAGTGCACAGACTGCACTTAGCAGAGTGGCTCATCTGAAACCTTGTGACTTGGGGGAGGAACCTTTATTTTTAAAGACTACAGTACCTATACTTTTAATAAAAAGCATTGAATGAAATAGCCGTTTTCATAAAATGCTTCATACTGCATGTTATTTCTCTCCTTATTTTTCTCTAAAAGAGATGACATATGTCCCCTTCACTCCATACTATAATCCAGCAAGTGAAGTTCCCTGGGGGACGCTTCATTCCCTGCTGGGCGTTATGTCAGCGGTCTTGTTCCCTAGAGACACTGCCTTCTCCTATCTGTTTTCTCTTCTTTAGCACATTAAGTAAGGCATTCTGCTCACCGGTGTGAAGACAATAATTCCCAGCAACATAGCAAAATATGAGGCACATTTTAAGCCACGCTGAACTTATGTTTATTTCAGCACTTTGCATATTGGGCTGTGATTGTGTGTCACAGTGTTTTTTTTAATTTCCGTATCAATTTCTCACAGTGGAAATTCAGCTTCTTTTTCAGATGAAATATAATGTATGCATATCCACTGCATGCTGTTTACTGTGTTTCTCTGTGCCGCAGTCTGTTTTCATGTTAGTGCATGTAGTGCCTTTGGTCATGTGTTCTGTTTACTTGAAAGAAAAATTTTCCTCCAACAAAAAAACAGATAGAAAACGGAGAAATTAGGTCCTACATGTAAGTTAATGTGAACTGAATTTACTCCATGTATTTGCTAGCAATTATATAATTCTAAGGAAATATGTAAACACCTTTTAACCTTTTTGCTACTTTTTCTACTTCATAGAATAGTAGTCAGAATCTTGCTTTTGTACTCCTTCAGAGTGTGCATAGGCATGTAAACCTGCCTATATATATATATATATATATATATATATATATATATATATATATATATATATATATATATAACGTTTTTAAGTTTGTTTGAGTTAATGAATATTTATTCATGTTTAGCAGTACATGTTTTTGGTTGTATTTGACTGAGGACAAATTAAGATGCTTCCAAAAGTCCAAATAAGTACTGCAGGTGTGATGCTTAGCTTCTGACATCACACTGTAATTGTTACTCTGAACTCCAGCATGAGCCACTTGCTATGTAACACTGTCAGCAACTCCTGGCCTCTGCTCAAGAATATGGGTGAGTACATTTTCTTCTCAACTAAATTAAAGACAGCCTAAAAATCCTAAATATGCACAGATATACACTCATTTCATCATAGCCATTTTGGTGACTAAGGTGTTTTTGGCATGAAATCAGTCCTTCAAACCTATTAATACTGGTTTTGTCCATATTAGTGTTGCCCATAGAGATGTTCCTATCTGATACAATGGATTGGGGACCGATCCAGGCACATTTTAATGGACTGGGTATCAGCTGAAATAAGCCCAATCCACTTCCAGTCCTTTGTTTTTCTTTTTGTTGTGCTCTATTTACATTAGGCTATTGTCATGGAGGTGCTGTAGATGGACATTATAGCACTTGCAGCAATCAGACACGTTTTCAGAAAAAGTGATATATTTAAGATCCTACAGTATTTATTGGCAGCCTGCCTGTGGTCACCGAGCCTTTTCCATCTGATCCAGGCAATCAGGGCCCTAGGAACATAATTAGCGGGAGCAAGTGTGGCAGATTGTGTTCCTGTTTCACAGGAAGGTAGAGCCAGGATTGGTGACCTCTGGCCTAGCATATCTTACCTAAATTATGTGGCTATATTACATACATCTATGTAACTACAACGCTTGGATCAGATCTGTATGAGTTGATACTCAACATTAATGCGCTCGGATCAGGAGAGAGTGATTCGGGACATGCCTAGTTAACTACACTGAATACAGTACCACTGAATTATCTG